CTGCTACTGCTACTGCTATTGCTACCGCTACTGCTACTGCCCCTACCGCTGCCAGCAACTGCTCCTATGTCGACGGCTACGACGACAACTGTGCTGTCCATGATCATGATAGACAACTTCAGTGTCGACGTCGTGGTCTTTTTGACATGGTGAACATAACTTATGTGGGCCATTGCCTGCTGCGGGTAAACGGGACTGTGCTCCCAGGCGGTGGCTGCGCAGGGTACCTGTACAGTGTGCACAACACAGCTCGGGCCCAAGGGGTCTAATTACATCAACTGTTTGTGCGACGGTTGCTCGGAGCTCCTCCCTGTTGACTGGGCACCCTCCGCGTTCAGAGCGCACAACCCTGGTCTGAGTGACCAAGGAGCAGCGAAGGCCGCGGACACGGAGACGCCAGCTGCGGCAGCGCATGCTACAGTAACGCTTGTGCCAGCCACTTTGAAGTCTGCTGGCATTTGTAGCGGTGGGACGCGCTTGCGAACTCACCTAAGCAAATTCGATGCTAACTCACCAGAGCAGGTTCGGCAGGCGTTGCTTCAACAGAGTGTGCTTTAGTTGCATTCTAGAACTACAAAACTTTGGTGCGGCAAAGCCGATGCAACCTCTGCAATAGTCTTACTGTAGCTCTGTGCGGACCCAGACGAAGTCTGGCTGTGGCCTAGGCCCAAGAGGCCTCACGTTTGAACTGAATGCCGCGTGGTTTCATCTCCGTTTCGAGGGAAGCCTTGCCCTAAGTGGCCTTGGATAGTGGTGCATTTCACAGCAATCGAGCGCTGTGTTTGACATAATTACAACAGGGCAGGCCGCCCATGCAAGCCTCTGTGGATATGCTGTGAGCCATGAGCCAGGATGAGTTGACACAAGAAGCACCATTCGAGCGGTTCAGTCTGAATGATGGTGTTGGACATGTTGCAGCAGATGTTGCGGGAGATCCGTACCTGGGTGTATGCACTTGACTGAGTGCTCGGTGCTGGGCATGGAATTGAACGCCAAGTCCCAGCTTACCAAGAAAGAGTCATGGCCATCTTGTGGTATCCAAAAGAGGACAACAAGAGCAACATCAACAAATTGACGCGTCCTGCAGAAGGTGGGAAAAGGACACGACCGTACTTGCTGGAATGTGTCATTGTAATCGCTGTTGACTGACATATGATCGAATAACTAGCACGAGCGACACGAGATTCTATATTCTATATATCTCGAAACCCTGCTCCCATCGCTCCTGCACCCGATAGAACATTGACGGAAACTAGGTCGACTCCTGAGCACAGCCAAGAGTAAGCTGCGGGAACATCTGCCATATCGCCGTTAAGAGGTGTCAGAGCATAGGGAGCTCAGAAGCTTGGGCATCCAGAAGGGCTTGTGCTTAGGTTCCAGTGTAGAGGCCGCGGGCTGCAAGCAGTGTCTGCACCATCGGACTCTCTGAAGACTGCGAAACCAAGCTCCCGATCTTCGGTATGATCGTTCCGAAGCGCCGTAGTTACCTCGCCGGCCCTTGATATTTTGATTTGGTATTTACTTTCCATTCTCAGAGAGTTGGCACCCAACGGTGAGGCGGCGGCTCACTTGCTGGGCGGCGCTTTGTGAACATGGGCCGCTGGACCGCAGATCTCCGACTCGCTGGGCCCTTAAGGCTCGTGCCACAGTTCCTGGACGACGTCGGCTCAAGCACGACGAGTGCAGAACCTTATTGCAGTAGGCAGCACGGGGACCCTCATGTGGACCCACCTCTACCTTGCAGCTGCATCACTGGTTCACGGATATGGATTTAGCAGCTTTCAGTGGCAGCCAACGCAGGTCCTTATTCCTTGTAACTAATGGCTCTAAGACTCTAAGTCTCGTAATAATTCGCAATCTTTGCACAACCTCAAGGCTCTGTCTTTCCGAACACTTATCAGTTACATTTCAGTTACGCTCGATGTGCTCCCTTGTCCAGCATCCGGCGCGCTTGCTTGCATGCTGAATGACTGAGGCTGAGGCTCGCAGGGCCTGGAAAGCAGTGCGATGCATATTGGAGGCCAGGTGGACCTGTCTTGTGGGAATAGATCTGGGACAGCAACCTGGCCACTGGGTCAAAAGACAAGCAGAGATGCACAGGGACGGGCAGGCGGACCGACCGACAGACTTTCAGACCGTGGCATGCCGACGGGACAATGGGAGGGAGGCAAGGGGCGAGCTCAGACAGGAAAGAGAGATAGAGAAAAGCTCAAACGGGCGGGTCATGGATCGATGATTCGACTGATCGGCTGCCAGGACGGGCGTTGCATGGCATATGAGATAAGAAGTTCCTATCACGCAGGCAACATGGCATAAGACATCAACGGGCATCTTGAGTACGAAATCCTCTCTGGCCCGAATCATGGGAATGCGTGGCTTCTTTTTGTGCTGGCGCAAGCTGTTTATCATTGTTTCTTTTATTGTAAGGCTCCTAGGAGAAGGGAGCTGAATGGTCTTTATTAAGTCTTTATAACCTCAATGTATTTGTTTCTTCGTAAGCACCCTGCAGAGAGCCTACAACGCCTCAACTAAAATCTTGCACTTACAGCACACCCGGGACCCTGTGATGTAATACACGGAACTTCCATATTCAAGGAGACACAGAAATGTGCGATGACGAGCACGGCACAGTGATGCCAGGAGCCCAATGCGACGATTCTGCAGTCCGTCTACGCCAAGTGGCATGCTGCGGGGATCAGAAATCTGCCCAGGCAGGGTACTTGGGCATCGTTTCTGTGTGCTCATGTCTGGCTGGACGGCTGTCTGAAGCAAAATCTAAGCCTTTGTAATTAAGCAGGCTGTGGGGGGCGTGGAGGCGGTTTTCTCAGAACAGGCGCCCGCCAGGCTGGAACAGAAAGTCTCCACACCATAAGGGGGGAGAAACAGTACACCAGATGCGCTGGGGCAGGGATGCCAACCCCAATGATACACATTGACTCCATCCCTGTGAAACAGGCGGCTGCGGTCGGCGGTGTAGTTATTGGTACCGGGTTACATTGCATCTGGCTCCGGCATCCACTTCTGATCTCTTGCGAGAGCACAGTAGCCTCCAAGGCTTCCCAAACAAGAGCACGGACTCATGGACATCCCAGAGCACCGCCAAAAGTTGGAGCTGTGCAAGACGAAGCTTCAGACTAGATGCTTTTGACCCAAACCCGTGGCCCCGAACTCGAGCATCTGCCCGCAAGTCGAGGGCACTGGCTCCCCGCTTCCTGCTGCCGGCCGAGCCGGCAGCGCGCCAAACGGTGCCCGCAGCGGCCGAGGTGCGGGGCCGGTCAGTCTTCGGACGTGACGAAGTTCGATTGGACTCGGTGTGTTTAGATGCATGCGATCGTCGGAAGAGCTTCCGGTCTTCAGGTTCTGTTCCCATCGCATGCGATTTCGTTTACTCCGTCTTCCCAGAACTCGTGAAGCCGTGCTGAGCGCTCATTGACCAGTCTCTGGACGGAAGTGCGAAGTAAGCCGTGTGTAAGTCTGTTCAAAAGCACCCTCTCAGATAGCCTATTCAACTAAGTCCCTGGACTTACAGCACATCCAGGACCCCGTGATGTAATGAACCGAAAGTTTATATGGGCGCTGTCAGCAGCCAAGACTTTCAACTGTTTTTCCCTTGATTCACTTAGGCTTAAACCGATTGAACATGGTTTTCGTAAGAGGTAACTTTGGTCAGAGTTGCAGACGTAGCACATAGTTAATACTGTTTTTGATGGCAGGATTGACCGCAGGTCAAGTGCGCAGAAATGTGCGATGACGAGTACAGCACAGTGATGCGCTCTGAAATTCAGGAGCCCAGCGCGATGAGTCTGCGGCCCGTCTTCGCCAAGTGGCATGCTGCGGGGGTCCGGGGTCAGCAATCTGTCCAGGCAGGGTACTTGGGCAGCGGTGCTGTGCCCTTGAATTGACTCCCCTCCCGCTCCTCCTCCTGATCTCCTCGTTCCCTCCTGCTCCTGAATCAAAACCTTGTCTTCCAAAACTTACCAGATTCCAGCAGTCCCACCACTTGCCGACCTCACAGCTTTCGTCTCCTCCATGTCCCTAATATTCTGGCGAGGAAACCTTAAACGTCTTCACCGAAGCATGTCGCACCGTGAGATCATGTGAGAGCTTCCCTGACCAGGATCGCACGATTGCACCGTCGGAGGGACGGACGTCGCCAAGCGGTGAAAAGTTGGATTACAAATGTCCGCAGCCACCGGATCTTTAGCAAGAACATTCTTTGGTGTCCAGAACTCGAGTGCCAAAGCCTCTTACCAATACATGATAGGCTGAGCCAAAATGGGCGGACATGAGTGAGAAGGAGCCAACATGCAGAGTCTGCTCGGTACAGTTGTGGCCACGTTGGTCCGCAAACACATGCCAGGCAAGATCAAGCATTGCCCTTGCGGGCAACGCAAGTTCTTGCAGCCGACCTTTCGATGTTGTGATGTCTGCGGGTTTATGGCTGGGTGAACGTCCATATCTGATCGCTGTCATGGCAATGCCATCTATTCCGAGGAATTCCCCAGCACTGAAGCTTCTCACTACTACAAAAAATCTCAGATTCGACGCCTCCTAAACTGCTCCCATACCGTCACAACTGAATTTCGCTTTCGTATTAGTAGTTGCTGGTACGAGAGATGAGTAAACAATCGCACAATCAATTTTGTAGTTTGGCAGCGTTTAAATTGGTTCTAACACTTCTAAAGCCGTCGCAAGCCTATCAAAGTTATTTTGTCTGGTATATAATTGTCATTCGTATTAGAAATGAAGTGAATAAGACGACGCGTATTCGCTCAATAAATATAGATTTAGCAGAAAAAAGATATCAGAGAATCATTAGATGCTCTAATTAGTAAAATAAGAATAGAGAAGAAATTAATATATAGAATTAAAAAGAGAATATATAGTATAACCTTATAATTTCATATCAATATTTTGATATCGATAAAAAAAATAAATAATAATTTATTTTATTAATAGAAATATTAGGATCCAAAACTATAATTCGAAATACTATATTATTATTATTAGAATAATTAAAAAAATGATAAGTCATATAAATAATACGAGGTCTGATTATAAATATAGGGTTATAATTACCGCGTTTCGGCGTATTATATTTATTTTATATTTTATTTTCTTATACGTCTTATATGATGAAATAATGAAATTAGATGGTTATCTTTCGTTTGACGCGTCTTGGTTGTGAAAATATTCGTATTTCAAGGTTTTATGGAGTTTTATCATTTTCTTAGCGAAATGGGGGTTGTAGTCGTAATTGTCCTATTAGATTCTAATTGATCTAGATATTTGATATTTTAAATTATTGATTGTGAGGAATTACCGAAATTATAGGGTTTATTATAGTTAGTAGGACATGAAAATGCGCACAAGTAGGATTTGAATAAATAAGTAGTAAATTTCTTAATTATGATTAGCTTTTTATATTTTTTTCTTTCTTGACTCTTTTGACAGTCACACATGCGGATTCATATATTTAACTCATTCATATTTGTTGATATATAATAATGAAATATTGGTTTAAATATTTGTCTTGAATTCTATGCACTTTGCAAAATAAATACGCTAATTTAATATTTATATTCTTAATATTGTATGCCAAAATAGATGATGCTTTGAGTTCTAGTCTTAGATGGATTGGCTTGATAGGATATAAAATCTAGAAGAAATAAGATATATGGCTCTATAAGGGATATATCGATTCTATATGATCTATTTCAAGAATTAATACGATAAATTAAAGAATATATGGAATTTATAAGGAATCTTGCCTGTGATAATTATTATGAGGAGAAGATTGAATATATAATTAATTAATGCCGCGGTATCGTATCTATTGATGTCTGATTATTTAAACGCTAAATCTGACCTTGAATATATTATTCAGGAATAGCTACTTTAAAATAAAATATTGTTGGAGATATCTTAAAATATTTGAAGATATTAGAATATAAATATGATATAAAAAGGATCTGCAAAAATAAAAGCTCTTGAAATAAAATGTCCCTTAATCTTTCAGAAAGTCGGTTTTCAAAAATCCAGGTCCCTCATCAACCTACTCTCTAAATTAATATGATTTCAATATGATTAAAAATCTATTTGAAATCGTCCTATTATGAAGAGAGAAATAATATAAAGAAAGGAATAGATTTATTTGAGGAAATATAGATGAGAATTTTTATAATTTCCAAAAAACACGCATCCTTTCATTCTCTTGTCTTAAAAATTAAAAAAAATATATATATATAAGACTTGAAAATTATTATTAAATTATATTATAATCAAGAAAGAATCATATTTTAATAATAGGTCATCGTCTCTTTATGAAATTATCTTATTTATTTTATTCTTTATTATATTATAGTTATTAGAAATTATCTTACCGATTTTCGACACTCTAATATATTTGAATATCTTCTTTCCCCCATAGAACGGAGACTAAAAAATATCGCCGGGCGCGACATCTACTTTATTATTCATTATAAAGAATATCTCCTTATTTAAGGTCCGGGTAATCGTATAATAAGAGAATCTTTCTTATAAATTATAGAAGAAATTTATTTTGAGATATATAATATCAAAACCAATAATTCTATTTCTTAAATATTTTAAATATAACGAAATCTTCCGTCCCCTCAGAAAATTATAATTCCTAATCTAATTTCTTTTTATCTTTGAACACTACATATAATATAATTATTATTTTAAGAAAAACTTATTTTATTAATATTATTATAATCTATAATTTTTATTTTGGTAATTTTTTATCATAAATTCAATATAATTTGAAAGATTCGATAAATTATCGAATAAATAGAATCTATCTAAATTATAGAATTTATATAAATATATTTCTAATAATTATAATAATAATAATAATTCTTTTTTATATCTATAAAATATATAATAATTATAATTTTATTTAATAGAATAATAAGTAATCTGTAAAATAATTTTAGGAATATAGATTCAACTAGTAAAAAAAATCAATTATTTAAATCAATAGTAAGTAAATTTTATTATTCGTATAATTTTTAAGAAGCGTCCTCTCTTATTTCGAAGATTATAATCAAATCTCAAATAGATATATTCAATTATCTAGAAAATCAATATTATCATAATTTAAATATGAATCTTGATCTTATCGTTAAATATATATCTAGCATATCAAATATTTGATATATATATATCGTTATCATCATCCCCAATATCATATTATCAGCATCACGCAATTAATATTAGACCGATACGTCCCTCTGCCAAGTCTGCAGGCACTCCGCCAGCACGCGGATAGCCCCATAGTTTGGGGTTTAGGCTTAGGGCGTCGGGCCACTGCTAAGTCGTGCCTGCTTCAAATCTTGAGAAATGTTTCAATTCTAGAAATGTGGTCGCAGTGCAGCCACAGGAAACCGGCACTCGAAGATGATTCAGAGACAGATGGTCTTGCTTGCGCACCAAGATGTTTTGTAGTTTTAAGGCCGCAACGCCCGAGCAAGGGAGAAGGTTTTCTGCACAGAGCTGACGCTTCATGCACAGGGAGCTTCGGTCCGTCATCTGCTACTTGGAAGCTGTAGTCATCTTGAATGTTTCAGCAATCAGGTTAAAGGGCGAGTCATCTTCTTCTTCCGAAGGATCGCTTCGAAAAGACTAGCCCGCACAACAGCGCGGACACGTACGTCTGAGCTCAGGCAAAGTGACATCACGATTCCGATGATGGCGATAAGCCTCACGGACGTGGCCAGTTCACGCCGTTCAGTCCAGGAACGTGTGTCAGAGCTTCCTTCAGGTCTTCCTCCGGGAAGACAAAGTCTTCAATTTGCCCTTTCGCATACTTTTCCCAGGCGAACATGTCGAAATGCCCGTGACCGCACCTGGGGAAAGGCAGACTTTTCAGTGCCATCGGACCACTGAGCCACCGTACTTTACAGTGTGCTTTACTGTTTGCAATCTTCTCTCTAGATATTGCAATATATAGTATGGTATATCATTTTATAGTAATATTGTGGTAATATTGGGTGTATTATATAACAGTACAGTATAGTATATCACATTATGTTTGGCTGGCGCAACAAGATCTCTCCCGGGATTGAAGCCTGAACAGGGTCTCCAGAGCTCGAATCGCAGCAGGCTCCCAAAGTGCTAAGAGTCGACGTACTAGCGTATAGCTACACTTCTGTTACGGTATATCGTATTTTCCGTATATTATGGTACATGATAGCGAGCTTTTCGTATATAATTTATATAATGATACATTATTGTATGAACGCCCATGTACGAATGACAGCCCTCTCACTTGTTGACTACTCTTCTGTTCCCGATCTGAATACTATACGAGTCTGAGGGAGTTAAATACTGTTTATGTTCCTGTACGGCGATTCTACAAATAGTACACAACCAAAACTTGTCCTAGTCATTGAGGCCCCAATGCACACGTGGACCAAAACTTTAAAGACATACTATAACATACTATGATATACTTATTACCTGGGCCGAGTACTTTGAAACGTCTATCCGAGAGTCCGAGAGCTATCACGGGCTTCTGCCCTTTCTACCACTAGCTTGTTGTGTACTTCAACTGCGAACTCATACTATCCCAAAATCTACATTCAAACCTTCTGTTGGATATCGTATCGGGTCATGCCGTGAGCATGGTCGAGCGGCATGTTGAAGAGAATGACGCGAGGCTTGCCAGCAGCTGCTGCCGCCTTTGCTTCATGAAGAGCACCTGCTTCGACAACCCTCCCCTTGCATGATAGTCCACAGTCTTGCTACGGCGCAAACCAACCGATCCACGGGATGATAAGTAGAAGCTGGAATCACAAACAGCAACAGGCCAGCACCGCAACAAACCTGCTGTCAGAAAATCAAGAACCAAAGGCTTCTGTGGCATTGTACGACCGATTCGTGCTGCTGTTCTCGGCCTTTGGGTTTATTTAGGGTCCAGGGGTTTAGGACTTAATGGCTAAGGCTAGACAAACGGGCTCCGAGGGTTTAGGGTTTGGTCGTTCGAGTCTTGGGTTTAGGGAACTCGGTCAATCTTGCGGAACGTCTGGGGTTGGAGAACGGTAGGTCGTCGCCGGTGGTCGAAACTTTCGTCAACCGATAAGGCCTTCAATGGCATGCGTCGCTTCTGGAGCAGGAAGAATTCCCTCAGCTCGGAAGAACGAGGATCCCGCATCGAAGGCTGCTGTCTGCTGCACAGCTTGCGCCTTGTCACATAGGCTGTTTTGCTAAGGAAAAGGGTACTGTCTGCGCAGGTTATAACCCCCAGCTATGTAATGGAAAATAAAGCGTCGCCCGAAGTTAGTCAGGAAATCCGGATCCGTGCCTGCCTAATTTCAGCTACCTGCCCGAATTAGGGGGAGTTGCCAGGTTGGTGTCTTCTTTGCCTAGGCAGCATTCTCCCTCCTCGGACAGATTTAAGCGCCTGGCCTCAATGGCTCCCAGCTCCTTCAGGTGGGAGATGAGGGGAGCCATGGCATGGTATCCTCCAGTCCCCGGCGTGAGAGGAAGAAGCAAAGAGGAAAGGACGAGATCTGTTTATGGCATATGAGAATATATAGATCTCTGTATTGTGTCTTATCATACATTGCAAAGGAAGGAACAAATGCAGCTCTCCATTGCCACTAAGGATCTGAGTCCGCCAGAATGTACGGAGGGGGGCATGAAGCCAGAACCGAGTGTGTGAGCCTTCAGTCGATGCGGAAAGGAGGCAGAGTCTAGTCAAGGGTAAGAAACCTTGGTGCACTATTGAGACATGCAGCAACGCATGCTACTCACTCGAGGCCTTCAATAGTGGGGTCAGCTTGGCCGTATCCCCAAAGTCGTAGGCGTAGGCCCCCCGAGTGAGGGAGGGACACGCTGCCGGCTCCACGGCAAGGAATCGGATTTCTGGCTTGGCAGCTTCAGATCGCAGCTTCTCACCAAGGAAAGGGAAAGCAATCCCTGCAAAGTTGCTGCCCCCACCGGTGCAGCCAACAACCACATCCGGATATTCCCCAAAGCCTGCGAGCTGCTCAATGGCCTCTTGGCCAATGACCGTCTGGTGCATCAGTACGTGGGACAAGACGGAGCCCAAAGCATACTTGGCCTGTTCTGAGGAGACACAAGCCTCGATGGCCTCCGAGATTGCAATTCCCAAGGATCCGGGACACGTGGGGTCTTCCTCTAGGGCCTTACTGCCCACAGCGGTCTTCGTGGACGGTGATGGGAAGATCTCTGCGCCGCAGGCTTCGATGAAGGCCTTCCGGTAAGGCTTCTGCTCGTAGGAAACCTGGCTGACAGCTAAGGCCGCCGTTTTGGCAACCTGTCTATAACGCCCCTGAGCTCTAAAAGCTTTAGACTCTAAACCCGAACCCGTCTACAAGACCCATAAAACCCTAAACTCTAAAGGCTTTACACCCCAAACCTGTCTATAAGACTGAGACCTTCAGCGCGCGGCCTCCCAAGTCCCCCCCCCCCGCCGCCGCTTGTGCCCAGGCCCCACCTTGACCTGGTAGACCTCAATGGGCAGATCAAACTGACCTGAAGGGTTGGCACACACTATGATATGCTATGGTGTGTTCTGGTATGTGATGACGTATTCTGATATAATACGTGGATAAGGCATACAATGTCATGTACTCAAGCATAAAGGCCAAGACTGGATAAACCTTACACGAGAAGCATGAGACACCAAACAACAAAAACAAGCATATGTCAGCTCGCTATTATACTGCTGCTACTGATTTTACCTTTTAATATCATTATGATTAGTAGTATTCGTATTCGCATGAGCATCAGCATTAGCATTAGCACTACAGCATTACAGTAGTTACTATTTTTTTATGGTGGTGATGATGATGATGAGGGGCACCTCCAGACCAGGCCAATGCAGAACCCCATTGCCCAGCTCCTGTCTCTGTGGTTATCTTCTTTGTGCCGGCCAGCTTGTTGTAGTAGACCTGGGGCTTTGGGTTAGGGCAGTTAGGGGAGCAGTGTCATTCCCATGAGGCTTTGGTTCGAGGCCTTGTTCCGCGTGCTTTTTCTGAGTTTCTTGGTTCAGCAGGCTGCGATGTCAGACTCCGCCTGTGGGACGGCCGTGTTGGTCTTGTGGGATCCGGAAGGTGACCCACCTTCGTACTTGTAAAAGATCTTGACCTCGGTTGGCCCGGAAATACAGGGAACATGCTTCGTCGACAAGTCATGCTAGTTGACAAGGAATCCGCAGACTGGAGCTCGACGCCTCGACTATCACGCCCAGCGACGTTCCCAGGTAGGCCCAGGAGCTTTTCCCACCGGGATGCTCGTCTCAACGGTGTTGGACGCCAGAGGTTGAGGACCTCCCTCACCTGGGCTCTTGTTTAGGGATTTAAATTTAAGTTACCATAATAACGAAACCCTATTATTGTCCTATTATCTACTATAGATCCCTACTATGGTAACTCCAATTAAACTCCTTAACAACAACCCGGTCACTTCTGCAGGGATCTCCAGGTACCTCTCCGAAGAAACCTGGAGGCCAACTGCTTGCTGCGGCTCTCATCTTCTGCCAATGCTACACTTTAATGCAACCGGAACCCACAGCTACTAGATTAAGTAATACCGTATTATACCCTAAAAAAATTATAACATATGATACTATTAGGAGAGGTTTGGTAGGCGATAGGCTGATAGACCCCCCCTCCTGACTTGGACAGGCCCCTTGCCTCCTGCTCAATGAGGGATGCCTTGGCTGGTCTTAGGATCGCCCGGAAGGGATCCCTCGAAGGAACCCTTAAGGGATCCCCTAGTGACGCCTTAAGACTATGGCGGATATCTGCTGCGAAATACCTGAAAAGCGCACTGATGAGCCTAAAACCTGTAAACCTGCCCTGAGCCTTAAAGTTTTAATCCTGCAAACCTACCGCGCCCCTGCCTCCGAGAAACAGGGAAGAGGGGAGCAAAGTCGTCAGGTGTACAGGGTCGCAGCTCTCCCGGATGTAAAGGTGGCGGCAGAGGCACCGGCAAATCTGCCTGGATATTATACCTGGCACCCAGGGCGTTCAGATTTTGAAGCACCTAACCCATCGAGAAAACGTGACCAAGGCAGGTGAGTGCACCAGGACTTGGGTAGAGAGGTGCCGGTCGCCGCTGCCGAGAAGGCTCTCTTCGACAGCCTGCAAGAAGTGCTCAGAAATGCGGCAGCCATGGCTATGCCGGACACGCTTTACACAATAATCGAGGATAACATCGCATACTGCTATAGTATAACTTGTCCTGAAGATTTGTGGGTTTTAGCTGCGGGCGCAAGCCTGAGAGACTTGGAAAGTTGAGTTGCGTGTAAAGTGTGCTGCTGTTATGCCTCGATTAGATGGGCTGCATGTGGCCACTGTAAAAAAAACTGCGTTGCTCTGTGAGTCCAGATCGCCTGCTGTAGACGCTGCATGGCAAGCCTGTGCATCAGACTGCTGCCCGTGCACACCATGGCCGCGATATGTGCAGTGAGAAGGACGCAAACATTTTTTTTGCCTGAAGTTAACGATAGAGGCCGAGAGCCTATGTTTAGCCTTTTGAAAAGGCTCGGGAAAGCCTTCGCTGCCCTGATCCAAGATTGCTTTGCATTCTGGGATCGTGGGCGAAGGTTGGGATCTCAACACACGCCGGGTTTCCGGCTTGGGCATGTTAGCAGCACGCCTGCTGTGCTGCGAGAATCCCTCAAACTTTGGACAGACCCTGGCAAACCCTTGCAACGGAAGAACTGAAGTGTTTGTCCTCTTCGACCTATCCTCACGCTGCGCTGACAGGTGTGTCGGGGACTTGCGTATCATTATGGCACATTGCCTGAGGCAATGCTGGGCCACTTCATAAGCCAAGCGGCACGGACGGAAGTCGGAAAGGAAGGTCTACAGTCTTCGGACTTGCTTCTGTCCCTCCGTGCCCAAACTCACTAAGTCCTAAAGGGGCTCCTTCTGTCTCAACTGTGGAGAGGAGCAGTATAGCACATTGTATGCTAGAGGAGCTCATAGCATTAGCAGCAGCTCATGCAAGCCGTTTCACACGGCTTGTCGTCCCTGCGGCCGCATGTAGTCGGAGAACATGGAGACGCAGCCATCGCTGTCCTGGCCACTGCGTGGAAAGACATCAGTGTGCCCTCGAAGCCAGAGCATGCTTCTGAGCTGAAATTGAGGTTTAGTTCAGGGGCCTGTCATATTCATCAGGCTTACAGCTGTGATCATGTTTGCTTACGGCTCTTCTTCATCTCCTCCCACTTATTCGCAGTATGGTCAGAACGATCAATCAACCTCTGACCGGAGCCATAAGGATTAAAACGAGAACGTAATGACATGAAACTTGTGTAAGGTACTGCTACGCGCCAGCTCTGCATGCCTCACCAACTGACGTGCCATGAGCGATTTCCATCCACCAAGCAAGAAACAAAGACCCTATAGTCACAAAGTGCACATGATGTGCGCACGAAATGCGGATATGATTCAAAACGTTTGAAGACTCCATGCAGGCATTCAATTGTTGCAGGCCTGGGGAATAATAGTATAAAATAGTATATTATCGTATATTATAGTATTATGGGGGGTTTTAAGCCCCGCGCAGGCCGGATTGATGCCTTTACGATGGTGACCACCACGGAAGTGCGTCCCACGTGGTGCCGCATTGAGATTTTTTCAACCATCTTGGATGAGATTCAGGTGGCAATGGATCGGTTTTTCTTTTTTCACAATGGGCTTTTTCGACTGTCCAAGCGCCGAAAATCAAGTGTGAAGTATCCCCAGCATCTTCTTGCGGTCGTCAAGTGTCTCTGCCACCTCCGTGATAGTATCTTCGAACATCTGCAAGATTTCTTTTTCTTCATGCCGCATAAGAGCCAAGTACCGCTCCTGCTTCAAGAACTCCAGCTTGAGCTCCAGCTTTAGTAGGTCGCTTTTCGCGGCTTTCTGAGCGTACTTCGCAACTTTTGCCGTGAGAGTTCCAGGACCAGTTGCATGAATAGCTCCTGTCACATGCCCGCTAAGAAGCGGGAGATCATGGCTGAAGGAGCATATCCCATGATCGCCGCATCTTCATTACCGCAGGCCAAGATGGTCAGGAGGTCGCCAAATCCCCACAGCCCATTCTTCACTGTCAAGAGGTGGACCTGCATACCGGACGTGTCGCTCCAGTTGAACCAAAGTCGCCGCAGGAAGACGGGCAGCTCCAGCGTAAGAAGGGGGCGAAAGGCATCGATCAATTTCGCGCGGCGCTGCATAGCAGTCATGTTATCGTCGGAGCGCAAGTAGGACGTTATGCACCACCCAGTGCACCTCTCCACGTCGTCTGCATACGCTTGATCTTCGGTCGGCTGGAGCTGACATAGCTCCACTCCATCTTCCGTGCTACCGTCGTCGTATTCCCCTCGGTATGTGACCTCGTTCTCCTTGCGGCAAGCAAAGCCTGCGCATCCGGAATGAAGTCGATGTGGCGACGCGGTGGGATCCAACACACACACACACACACACGCACGCGTTGGTCGATCGCCAAGCTCGGCGATGTCTGCCTGTGTCATTCGAAAGGCTTCCTCCAGAGTTTCCTCTGCACCGTCCCTATCAAGAACACTGACTCGTTCCATAAGCTCCTTCAAGATTGAGACCTTGGTGACATATGGCTTGCCCCCCTCCCGTGGCTCGGTCTCGCGGTACCGAAACCAGGTATAGATCAATGGGGACAGCACAACAGTGCACACATTGAAGCAACCAGCCAAGTGTACCAAATGCCTGTTTCGAGGCAATACTGCATGCCAGCCGGCGAAGGCTTGCCATCTGCCGTCAATCCAACAGACGGCATTTGGATCTTCGGATCATCGATACAAGAGACGAACATGAAGCAGTCGAGGATGTCCAACCAAACGCGATTCATGAAGTCTTTCGATGTGGGGCTGGGAGGCAGGAAAGGCGACTCCTGCAGCGACCAGGTCATCACAAGGATGGAGAGCCGCTTTGCCGTGGTCAAGACATCGCCGATGCTCATGGCGAACGCTTTGATCGAGGACTGCCAGACCTCATCGGACGTGACGCGCTTCAGCTTGAAGATCACTTCCACGCAGCACTTCACATGAGAAGAGTTATGGTAAGTTGGCAGATGGTAGTAGCTCATCCGGGAGCTGTCTTAATTCGCTCTTCGCTTTGGGTTCACCCATTCGCACACTCAGATTGCCCTTCAACCAGAAGTAGAGAGCAATGCAGAGTACCCGCTGCGTATTGTTGAATGCCATGAAAATGGCGCTGTACTGGCTGTCCTTGCCACGGCACAGGGTCCATTTCCATGCAAAAATGGCCAAGCCCCGGCCCAACAAGCAAGTCACGAAGATAACTGGAAAAAGCTGAGCGGGAAGGAACAGAGTACTGACATCCTTGCCCTCATCTTGCCACATCGTGGTCACATATTCCTCGTTGTTGGCAAGCCACTTCAACATGGCCAAAACGAGCAAAAGCTCGAAGACTATGCCCAGGGCCAGGGGCAAACGAAACTGCCGAAATCTGCTGCGGACGAATCCCGTCTCCGCCTTGTTCGCAATGCAGCTGGCATCCGGCTCCCGCGCTTGAGCCGCTGAGAGGCTGATCGTCCGCACCGCTGCAACTCAATCGGCCTGGCGCTAGTCCTGAATACGTTCCAAAGAACCTTCGTCATACAGCACTTGATAATTACCGCATTTCGGGGATCACTGTGCCTGGCATCACATGCCTCTGCACCCCGGTTCTGAACGCCTTGGGCCGGGCTTGCCTAAAGCTTAGCTGCTGCTTGACACCTGCCAGTTTCCTTCTGCGGCATCTACGGAAAGCTCTGAAGCGCAGCCTTGAGGCCGGCCTCGAGGCCGAGAAGCCACAAGTTGGAGTAAAGATCCCTGAAAAAGCATCCTAGAGTCCTAGACCCCCTCAAACCCGGAGACACACCCAGAGACACACCCAGAGACTCCGCTCTCCTTGAAGTAGTGGCCCGGGCCAGGCGTCAGATTCCGTGGAGTCGGCACCCGCAGCTTGCCCTGAAGACAAAGCACTGTGAAAAGGGAAGACTGTCCGCTGAAGATGGAGATGTTGCAGTTTGGGGTCGCAGCTTCCTAAGCCTGCGGAAACCCTGCTGGGAGCTCTCAACCCACTCTTCGATAGCTAATTAAAAGCTTCGAAATCGGAGCTGAGCCGCTCAAAGCCAGCACGCTTCTAGGTCGAATCCCCCCAACAAGGTGTTTCATAACCAGGTTGAGACTGTGAGAAGAAGCCTCGCCTGCTGCTTTCCGGAGCATCCTAAGGAATCTATCTCTGGCATGACCTGCAGTGCTTTCGAGCTGAAGTCTGGGTTCCAGTGACGGAGTCTTGGAGTCTAAGTACTTCCTCGCCACATCCATGGTAACAGAACTAGGCCCTGCCTGCGAAATCAAAGACCGTGATAAGGTCGCTTATGGCCAGCTCAAAGCTTCGACGGTTTATTTTTAGCACTTAGACACCGGAGCGCACCTCGTGCTCCTGACGGGCATGGCCAACGCCCCCAATGGTGTGGTAGAAGACCGGCCTGTCAGAACGCAGGTATCATTGAGAATAGGGTTTGCTGTATGTTATACTATAATCATAAGAAGGAGCCCCAGAAAATAGTGCCATGATTGTGGCCTCTATATAAAAGCTGGGACCCGGCGCTGGACAAGACGAACCCGGAATCTTGCTTACCAGAGAGGCCAATACCCCTTAATTAAGGAATATACCTTAAACCATAAATTATGGCTTAAGGTAATAGTAAATATTGAGGCCCCTATAATTTCAGATATACTCCTTGGTTAAGGGGTATTGGGCTCTTTGCGGGGAGCAGCGTGCAAGCTCGGCAGCACCAATCAGGAAGAAACTTCAATGCATACAGCCACACTGGACCAGACAACAAAATAATCCCGAAGCCGTCGGCACGGTCAAGCAGATTAATGTAGAGGCCTTCATGATTAGAATAGGGTTTTGGGGTATATTGTACTATAACTTTAGTAAGGAGCTCCCACAACAGTATAATTACAATAAGCAGCCCCCCAAAATAGTATAGGTAAGTATGAAGGCCCCTATATTGCTGGACTTGCTCCCATCCCGCGCCGGCCTTAGGGACGTGCTGTCCAATTGCCAGCTGGGTGTGCGCCACCTGTTAGGGTGTAGGGTTTGCGGTTTAGGGCGGATTTTCGGTGGCATGTGTTCTCATCATACGGATTCGGCTGCAGCCCCAGCTGCTGAATAAACGCACAAGGTGAAGACAGGAGGCCAACCAAACCAAGTGCCCTGGTAGACATCCTCTTGTGCGCCGAATCGATGGAACCCGTGGCCCGTCTGCTAAAACCGTCTTGTTGGGCCCATCTGTTACCTATGATGTTCCCTATGAAATTGCGGAAAGCCGGAGGAGTTTCGGGCTCAGCTCCAAACCCAAGGCCGCTGAGTGTGTGGCGGAGCTGAGTTCTTGCCAACCGAGACCTCGAAGAGACACGCCAGACAATCGAAGAATGTATGCGCACACATGTACACACACACACACGCGTACAAATGTGCGTGTAGTGCGTGCGTGAATGCATACGCACATGTACGCAGGTGTGTGGGTGTGTGTATATATATATATATATATGCAGGCATACTTGCATGCATACCAAGAGCAAACCTCATGGCACATACAAGAAAGCTTACCAGCCTACCTACCTACTTACCTACATACATACATTCATGTGCACCTGCATGCATGCCCACGTGCATGCATGCACACACACACACACACATGTGACACATATGTACGTTACACCCATATATACGCACATATGGACATACATACACACATACCCACCTACATACATACCAACCTACCGACCCGCCGACCCACCGACCCACCGACCCACCGACCCACCGACCTACCGACCTACCTACATACATACGAAAATATGTGCGCATCAAACTACCTATCTCCCTGTCAACCTATCGGTCTGTCTACCTATCTACCTATCTACCTATGCATGTATGTCTCCCTGTGTCTTTGTGCGTATTATGTATGCGTATGTGCCGGTGCATGCACGGGCGTATGGATGGACGCATGTAGGCATGTATGTATGTAACCATACAAGTATGTTACACATGTGTGAAAACTGTATGCAATATGTGTGTATATATAAATATAAATATAAATATAAATATAAATATAAATATAAATATAAATATATATATATACATACATACATACATACGTGTGCATATATACATACATTCATATTTACATAGGGAGCAAAACATAAACTTGCATTATCATAGTCATAGTGGTTGCTAAGAGGCACAGGTCCGAAGAAAAGTATGAAAGTACGGTAATCAGATGATCCAGAACCCTACAACCTTTCCGACACCCAGGAGCCAGTGCCTCGAATGCCCGGTCAATGTCGCCCATGAACCTGGAAATATAAGGCGGCTTCCGAGCATTGTGGGGCTTGGCGGTTCAACATGTAGTGTTTCGGCTTCAGGTTTTGGGATGTGCGCATTGTCTCGGAGGGGCTTGGCATTCAGGCTTGAAGGCATCGCGGTCACGCACTGATGATCATGATGGCCATCAAGACAGTGATGATGCTGAAGCTGAGTACTTCTTTGTACTAGGATTTCCTTCCTAGTTTCGAGGACCTAAAACGGGATCCTAACCTAGAGAACTACCCAGATGATGATGCCTCTTACCTTGCTTGTCTCCAGGAGCAGCCTCCTGGGTCCGAACCTGAACTCCTTAATGTAGGGGCCTCAAAAAGAAGAAGAAAAGGGTTTTGGGGCCCATTATACTATAAACATTAAACCCTAAAACCTCAATCCCCACGGCCTGAAAACCACACCATGAATCCAGCTTACGCCCTAAAACTGAAGCCTATACCCTAAAAGCTCAATACCTAAACCATAATCCCCAAAACTCCTAGCTTCCCATTGGCTCGGGATGGCCTCGGAATTCGATAGGACCCAGGGCCTGTCAGCGAGCGCATTCAAAACGAGGGAGTGCCTTTGTGGGGCCTTTTGGGGCTCCTTAGAGCTTCCCTGGACCGGGGTTTAGGTTCACAGTTTTGCGGCATAGGGTTTACGGGTTCGGAGCCTAGACCTTGCAAGCTTTACCGTTTACATTTGGGGTTGGGCTTCTTAGCGCTGTTCGAAGGTCTCGGCTTGTTTAGACCGGGATCCGCCGGAGCTTAGGCTCTCGGAGACTTTCGGCTCCCTTTGGTGGGTTCAAGCTTTGCCAGAATCGAGGCTAAGGAGACAAAGGCTCCAAGTGATGTAAAGCTCGATTAACACCCCTCCGCTCCCCTTTCCCGGGATTAGAAGAAGCGTGCTAACAAAGGCTCTTCGAGAAAGGAGCTTGATGCATATGGGTCTGCACCTAAAGAATAACATCAGCAATAATTATTTAGGAATCTAGGCCTCTATATTGTTCCCTCCCATCTTCGCACGAAGGTCGAAGAATCTCGGGCCTGGCACTGCCTTCCACTGTCTCCCTTGCTCTCGCAACTTCTTCTGGCTCTTGTCATCGCGCCTGGCCAGTCGAGGGTTCAGGGCTTAGGGTTGGGGTGTTCGGCTTCCCTATCGCACATGCCACTACAGGGCCCAACAAGACTCTGCAAATAACGAACCTGCCTTCGCAGGTCGTCTAACAAGGTTTCCCCATCTTGGCAACGGTGAGTGCCAGTCTTGCCTGCACATTTTGGCAAATCATCCTCACCGTCATTCCGAAAGTTTGTCGGCATTGACTCTTGTGACGTGCCCTTCGTCTCGTCTTGCACTTTGAAGTCTTGGAGGTCCGAATCATCCGAACAAGCCGGGAACGAGCATACGTACTGTAACTTTTTGCTGAACATAGAGTTGTCAGATGCTCTCGTGATTTGAATGTGTACCGACACCACAGTCCCACTTCTCCACGAGTTCGGATGCATGCTAGACCGATGAGCATAACCCCAACCTCTGGATCACTACGTAATCCAAAGCTCACATCTTATGCGACCCATCGTTGACAGTTGGTAATATAGGGGCCTTAACAAGTAGAATTAAAATAAGGAGCCCCAACATAGTATAGGTGCCCCATCCGGAAAAATGCTCAGTCATCCGAGACTGAGCGTGGCACAGAAGAAGCTTCTGTTGCTTGCGAGGGTGTCCAGCCTCGGCGGTGATGTAGGGGACTTCATTGCTAAAGTAGGGTTTGCTGGTACACTATAGCTTAAATAAAATACGAATCTCTAGGGAACAAGATTGGTAATTAATAATTATTTCGGCTTCTATAGTATCGCAACCCCTCTTGCCGTAAAGGCCTCCATTCAATACCTATTGCCATTCCAGGGTTTCTGCCGAGGCAACAAAGAGCAAGTATGCTTTACCTAGCCGAGGGCTTTTCGGATGCCTCAACCCGAAACGCCCAACCTTCAACCCTAGAACAAAGAAGGCGCTTTTTTGCATCCATAAGTCGTAGCCCCAAACCCTACTGTAGAACTGGAAGGATCCTTTGTCACCCCTAAGCCGCACACCCTGGGACTTAGAAGGAGCCTTTTAAATGGGGTCTTTAGGATCCCTGCGGAACTCGAAGCCTTTCACCAGATGCAGCTTGGTATCTCATTGTGCAAGCGGCCTCCGAAAGAGAAGGACGGGGCAGACCTGGAAGCGAAGCCAAAAGTAAACATTGTGTGTGTGTGTGTGTGTCTGTGCGTGTGTGTGTGTGTGTGTGTTTGTGCGTGCGTGTGTGTGTGTTTGTGTTTGTGTGTGTGCGCGTGCATGCGTGTGCATGCGTGTGCACACATACATGTATACATACATACATACAGACATACATACATACATACATACATACATACATACATACATATTCACACATGCTCATATGCACAGAGAGATGTGTATATATCATATACATATATATGTATACACATATACATAGATACAAAGTTGTGGGCTGTGCGGTTTGGCCCCCCCGTCAGCCCCTCAATGGTATTCTGCCCAAATACCCTTCAGCACACGGTTCGGGGTTCCGGATATTGTGGATGCATAGGTTTACGGTTTAGGTTTTCAGTTAGCGGATTTGGGCTTCCAACAAATCTAGGGATTCTACGGTCTAGGGTTCCGGTTTTGGGGTCAGGTTCAGCTTTTCGATGTGGCCCTTAGGGGAGGAAAGTCGAAAAGTCAGGGGCGCACAAGAAACCACAAACTTCGGTGATCTGTTTTTTTTTACAGTGTTGTTGCATGAGGTAGCAGCACAACCGCTTGCTTGAGGTCTTGCTTCATATCGCGGGTATGCAAAGGAGGTTGAATATGGATGGCACTTTGTCGCATAGCTAATCCCCCGATGAAGTTCAGGGCTCAGGAAGCCAGAACTCCGTGGCCGTTTGGGGCTTGCGCTGTAGCTTGGAACCACGTAGATGAGGCTTGGGGTAGAGTAGATCCCAGCTGCTGTTGAAGCACAGGGAAAGAGATGGCCAGGACAAAATCCTCCCAAGTCTGTCCGAAGGCAAAGCGGAGCCACCTACGACCAAGATACCAAAAGACAAGCAGCCCCAAATAATTAAAATGCTATGGTAATATTGTAGACTGTTGCAGTAGCTTGTAGTATATGATCATGTATCATGGTAAACCATACTAACTTAGCATATGTTAGTATATTCTGTTCTCGTATATCTTCAGACCCCGAAGCCCTACAACTCGAACTCCGCACCCCGGAAGCCCCGAAGCGTTTGGCTCAAGGAAATCAGATCCTGGCGCAAAGCGCGGATCTCGCGACCTCAGGCACGGCTTCAACAACATATACATATATATATATATATGTAATGCCTATACACAAACTTGTATTTATAAATATGGACGTATATGTTCATGTATTTTTAACTTGCTTACATATAGAGACAGCGACTGATGAAAATATAGGCTTGGATATACATGTAGGTACTTGTTTATATACGAGTATACTTGAAGCAAGGGGTTCATCAACCGCAAACCCAAGCCCACGCCCTAGCCATCTTGCAAAAAGACTGACGAAACGTCAAGATGATGATGATAATGATAATGATGATGCTGATGCTGATGCTGATGCTGATGCTTGGTCTCATTTCATCAATCATCCT